ACACATAACCTGTGCATATGTTTTGTTTATGGGTGCCTTTAGGATTTTTAAGTTTCAAAAATGCTTTCCAAAATGAACTGCCTAACACTAATAGTAAGTTAAAATCAAACTTGCATGAGGTCTGAGGAGTATGAATATTTGTTTTTGTAAAACAAAGAATTGTGACAAATCCTAAGGAACACAGGGAGCGACATGTGTGAACCCATTTCATGTACATTTGTGGACTTACCTCTCTGGTTCTGTTGCAGAAAGGCTCAGCCATAGGGATGTGACACACACCTGGGGGACTGGTGGGCTGCCCGTCGTACAGCGTTTGAGATCTCTTGGTGGTCCTGGAAAAAAAAAGAAAAGAACATAAAGCTTATTAAAAGTTATCTTTAAGGGAACCCAGACAAATTACAGATACTGTTTAGCCATACCCAAATGAAATAATGAATTTTCTTTACTTGGCAAATGCCAAACTTATGATACTGGACAATAAAACAAATACTTTTTTTGTTTTGCTATGAAAAAAGAAAGTATGAAAAGAAAAAACTTAGTGGAAAGATATAAAGAGACTGATTACATCCAAAAACATGAGCAATGATTTAATGGTAGGCTGTCATGACTCAAAATTATAGTGGATGATTAACTTACACAAATAAATGCAGTTAACCATTTGTCTTCTTACTGTTCACTGTATGCCTCTATTAGTTTTAGATCAGTGCTACTAGCACCTTTAACAGCCACCAATCCAAAAGTGACTCACCGTAGTTGCTGGGCTCTTATCTGGCAGTTATGTAATAATTGCAACACTTGGACAAAATAATTATGAGAAATACTGATGACATAAACTCAAATGATATCAAGCAGCAAGTCAGCAACAATTACTGTGTCATCACAACCATACTCTTCTAAACCAGACAGAGTTTTGATGATTAAACTAATAAACATGGTTTCCACATCTCTCAAGATTAGAAAAATATTAACAGATCAGCAGCAGAATGGTCTCAGGCTTCACCCCAACAACTGCTGTGTCCTGCTCTGCTGAGTCAGTGGAGGTGCAACAGGCACAGCGCCAGCATGTCTCCTATTGGTAATCTATGGAGACAGGTCAAGAGTACACAAGAGACTGATTCACTCCCCCCAGTGACCTGAGAACACGAGGGTTTCCCTGTGGTCTATGCAGCTGATAGCCCTATTCAATGACTGTAGCAATCCATACGGCAAAGACCAGTCAGCTAAGGCAAACGACAGCACATCGTTAGCTTTAAGACAAGGAAGTCAGCCAGTCTATCAAGAACACTCAAAAACCATCAAACACTCCGATAAAGCTGGCTCTCATAAAGACTGCACAAGAATTGAAGACCAACAGTTCCCTCTGCAGCAGAAGACGGTTTCATTATGAGTTGCCAGCCTCATCAGCCCACATCAGTGCTTCACAGAGTTCAAGTAGCTGACATATCCCAAGATCAATTTTAAGAGGAGACTGTGTGAATCAGGCCTTCAAGACAGAATGCTGCAACCACTACTGAGGCTCGGCCAGCAAATACAAGGAATGGAAATTAGATCAGGAGAAATCTTTACTTTGGTATAATGGGTCCAACTTTTTGATGTTTGATTCACCTGCTGTGTCTTTGTGAGATGCAAGGAAGCTGAATGGATGTTATCTGTACGGGTGGTTCCCATTGTGAAGCATGGAGGAGCTGTGATGGTGGTGAGGACGCTCTGCAGGTGACACTGATGGCAAACTAGTATTGCAATAGTGTAGATTTGTTTTTTGGCAGAATGATGACCCAGGACACATCTAGGTTCAGAACCAGTGCCGTTTCAAACTCTGGCCTCCACAATCATCAACCTTAACCCAGCTGAGATGATCTGAGATGAGGTGGACAGTAAAGTGAAGGAAGAGTAGCCAACAAATGTTCATCAGAGGCGTTGGAAACGCTCCAGCAGATGATCGCATGAAGCCGATCTCGAGAATGAAGGATGTGCCAAGTTGTTAGCAAAAGGTTGCTACTGAAAACAATCTAAAAGTTGAAACATACTTTTGAGCTGTATACACTATGTTGCCTATGAAATACATTCCAGTTCATTTTGTGTTTATATAGTTTTGATGCCTTTACTGTTGTTCTACAATGTAGAAGAATCTGAAAAGAATGAAAAAGGAGTAGGTGTGTCCATACGTTTGATGGGACTGTAGATCATTATATCATGGGCTAATCAAAAGGATTTTTCAGCAATGCTTATTCATGGTGCAACTTAGTTTTTCTTGTTTTCCCACGGATTACAGAGTCATCACGTAATTATCTTAGACATCTAAAATATGAACGTCTCAGCAGCGTTCTTTCAAGTTGATGCCCAACCCTTTCTCTTACTCAGAACCCTGGCAGTGGAAGACTATAGTCAGTGTTTAAATATTTTTCCGCAAGCTGCAGCTCTGCCCTGCTACAAGCCAACAACACTGGTGTGTGAGATAACCGCAAGCAGAATACAATGCTTGCTTATGCAATAGAAATCGAGTTACCTTGGCCTGGCATTTCATTAGAGTCATTATTGCAGAGAATGACTCCCACACCCTCTAATTATCAAATATGTCTATTATTCCTGGATTCCAAAACAGATGTGCTGCTGACAACTCTACATTACATACATACTGTGAAATATCTCCAAAAGCTTTGGAAATTTACAGCACCATTCTGATTTTAGAACGAATGATACAAATAATAACATAGTTTGTATGAAAGTGTATCATGTATCCATTTTAGATTTAATCTGCGTTTCTGATTTAGATTCTGTTGATGCCATTTAATATGTTGTGCATCAAATCACTGTAATATTTAAGCCAAAAATAAGCTCTAGCCCGACAGTCATTTAGTTTTATTTTTTTAAATACTTATTTTTATTGTTGAAATGCATAACCCATCATAAACTTTGATGTTAAGATGCTATTTAGCCAGTATAAGGAAATTTAGCATTTTTATCACATGTAAAGATCTGCTACAGTCAAAAGCCAAGTGAAAATGAAAAGAAAATAATCTATAATAATGATAAAAGTATTGATTTGGAAGCATACTGCAAAATATATTTTAGGACAGTTTGAGACATTACGGTTGAAATCTGACAAAGCAGACTCTCATTCAATGGCAACCAAGTGGTTGGTTTGTCAACAGCGAGTAAGGAGAGGTGAACACAACACATAAAGTGAGGCCTTCAGAAGCATGCTGTCACATGCTGTCGGACAAGTCTGAGCAAGTCCCAACAAGCAAGTTCCTCATTTCAGATAAATAGGTCTTGTTTGTGCTTGATACTGGTACTTCATTGACTTCACCAGCACAGGCAACAAAGCTGCAGGCTACGTGATGCAGCCGTGTGCATGTGTACAGGGTGATACACTGACACGACTGTGAGACAGCAGTTTACTACTCGTTTCCAATTCAACCAGCTGTATGCCAACTCGTGAGTAATAAATAAGCCGTTCTACTGAAACAGCACCTCTCAGCAAACATATTGTGTTACTTAATGAAATTTGTATAATCAGCCAAGAGTCGTGTGCAACACTCCCACGGGTGATGCTCTTTGTACGCCACAAAGGAAGTATATATATGTACAAGCCCTGAGGTCAGAAACTGTACCATTTCCCATGACGCTGAAAGATGTGATCAGGTTGACCAGCAAGTTATTACAATCTGAGACAAAATTTGTAGCGTGTTGAATGGGTGTGGATTTCATGTGGTTTAGCAGTGGACACAAAGATATGGGCATTTATTATAGATCTAAATAAGCACAGCAGTCAAGCAGCCTGGTTAATTTGTGGTCATGGCAGAACATTTAATATGAATCCTACCTTCACAGAGGTGAGAATGTTCAGTTTTTGTTGAAACTGTTTCCCACAGGTTTTGACAAATCTGTATCTGGGTCACTCTTAAGGATGTTGTTGATATGCACTCCATTAAACAAAGAGGGGTTTCTGTTGTTTAACATACCCTCAATGATATAAATAGAGTGGAGGAAAAAAAAATAACAGAAACATCTGCACCACAAATTCAGCCTCTCTTTGCAGGTGGCAACAGACTGCAGTGAGTAAACCCAAGGCTGAAACTCACAGAAAGTAATACACCGAGTAAGACAAGAGAAATACAGGAAGGAGCCACAACTGTTTTCAGAAATATTTCTGTAGCAAAGTGTACTTGATAATCCGTCATGCTGGTGTTGCCACCGGTGGAATGTCCCAGTTACAACATTTCCAATAGTCACTGAAGCCCGAAGGAAACGGTGACACTTGAGAGTCAGTCAAAATATCCAGCTGATGGTAATGTTTGTTTTTTTTCTCACAGAACAGAAGAGTAACAAATATTAGTTTTGACAGATAATGTTAAACTTCCCCTTTTCTCACTCAGCTATCTGGACGTCGTTTGTCACTCAGTAACACGAATCCTGCCAGTGAGACGTGTGGGAAGGTGCTACGCCTGTGGTGCAGTAATCATACGCAGCCAACAACAACAACAACTTCTGACAGATGTTCAAGTCTATTTAAAGAAACACATGTATTCAGTTCACAAAACCAGCCTTTCTTTTATAAAAATAAATAAATAAATAAAAAAAATCTGCAGACAATGTAGCCATTTTATTCACATAAATTCAAGACTGTTTGCAAGATTGAATCGCAAAAAGGTCACCTTGCTGAGCCCTGAGAGGCATGTGATCGTAAAGAAAAACATCGCGGAATTTACACTATTTATCACAACCAGAAATCTGAATCATCAGATTTCCAATTTTTCTGTGTTCCTGAAACTACTCTGTGATTAAATCTAAGTTTAAAATCCTCATAATTCATCAAATTCACTTTAGTCGACATAAACCCATGACACACTCAGCTGTCTTGAAATTCCCAAGAGATTAATCAAGTACATTATCTATTTTTGTTTTGGTTGGCTGAACCTGTACAAACTGCCAGCTGTGTTCACACAAACCAGACAGGAGATGAGAACGGAAAGAAATTAAAAACGTAAGTAGTGAAATTTTCTTCAAGTATCAGTAGCACCTGTGAGCAATTCAACTTCAGGTTTTTCATTTTTTATAAAACTATTTATGGCAATTTAATTGTGTCATACTGCATAACAGACATTTTTCAGATTCTTTCTACTTTCCATACAGGTGCAGGACAAAAGAAAAAAAAGTATGTATGATTTAGCTTTTTTGCTGTGGTGGACGATGCATCACTAATCTAGCTGTTTGAGGGTACACTGACCTTTAATGCTATACTTTAAACTCTAGCAAAACACATATTAGCATGATGCAAAGGTCTCCTTTGGTATGAAAATGAAGGTACCTTAGTGTCATACAAATACATTTATCCTAAGACACAAGTGAGATCACACTTTGTATCGGAAATAAACACGTTTTTTTCAAAAATGGTCGCCAATGCGCTGAAAATACTCTAGAGCCCATATCTTTGCTTTTGTTAAAGGTATAATGACAAATTTGGTGTCAAAGTGTACATTTTTGGGATCAAGGAATCCAATAAAATAGAGTCAAGTTTTTTAAAAAAAAACAACAGTTTTCCTCTTACCATGACAATTGGGGTTAAATATGCACATTTCACATAAGAAAAAAAAAGTTGTGTCATCAGAAGTTCCTGGCAACTGGGCTTCCTTCCTACGAGTGGATCTGAACAAGCAGGAGTTGTTCATGGAGCTGGCCAAAAGCTTGAAGCTCATGACACTTCCACAGGTATTGGCGTAGAAACTAATAATGTATGTCTTGAACTGTTCTGTTACATGCTGTAGCTGATAAAACTGATTTTACTGGCATATCCTCAGTTACACTCAGACATGCTATCTTTCTTGTTCCAGTAAAAGGAGCTCTTTGCCACTGTGCTTGAGGACTGTGGAAGTTCACCATCTAGCATTGACACTGATGCACCGGCCCCATGCACACATGAGGAAACTGATACACAGATTTTCCTGCATGTGGCTGCTACTACTGTTGCTGGACATTGTCATGATTGTCCAAAGCAGTGACAGTGATGTTGTAGTGCTGGCCATTGCCACCTTTGTGGCCCTTGGACAGAAGATCGGCAAACTCTGGATTGCCTTTGGTGTACGGTGCTCCTTCAGGTACAGATCATTTCATTGTATTAGCTCTGATTTCAGTAGACCAATCAATAACTTTTTTTTTTCCCCTTACCAGGTACTTTCCAGCACCATGCAAATGGTGCATGCAGAGGCTGCCTTGCATGTCTCTCTGGTGATGTCATGGCTCATGTTCCCACAGTGGGGCACACATCTAAATAGAAAATCATCTCACTGATGTATTTACACTAAACTATTAGTCTTCATCACTAGAACATTGTAGGTATGGCATTGCCTCCTTATAAACTGTGACCATAGTTATGAACTTGTTGTCTCACTACTCAGCTTCTCTGCATTTATAATACACATATTCAACACTTTAAATTGTTTATTTATTCAATTATTATTGAGTTGTGAATGGACTGTGTTTTTGGCATGCATTTTTTAAAATAATAAATTGCATATTTTACCCTCAAGTTAGGAGAATATTATTGTTTTTTGTTTTGTTTTGTCTTGGAACCTATTTTATTGGATTCCTTGACCCCAAAAATGCACTCTTTGACATCAAGTTTGTCATTATAACAATAACAGAAGCAAAGATATGGGCCTCTCAAGTATGGTGAGCAGCCATTTTTAAAAACAGCCGCCAAAATGTGATCTCACTATTGTCTTAGGATGCATTTATTTCTATGGCCCTAAGGTACTTCCATGCCAAAGAGGCCCTTTGCATCATGACCTGAAGTCAAAAGTCATTTAACCTCCCCACTATACGTAAATGACTGTGTGACATTCTCTGAGACCCTCATTTTACTCCACTACTCTTTATCTTTATTCTCCTCTCAGTCTTAGGACATAATTACCCTGCAATGAGTGGCTCAGTCCTGGGAGCAAAGTGAAAAAGAAAAAAAAACAACAAAAGCCAATATCTGAATCTTTCTGTGCTGGTGTCCCATCCCACTGACCTGTCAATGAACTGATCTATGATGACAATATCTCCTGGCTGAATCTCCTCCCGCAGTGAGCCGCAGGCCGTGGTGACCAGCAGATGTGTACACCCTTCTTCTCTGAGTGCCCAGATGTTGGCCTGGTAGTTCACGTTGGATGGCATTATGGTGTGTTGTCTCCCATGTCTGGGAATAGCAAAAGTCATGGTTGCATTTATACAGGGTTTCTATGTTTGACAAATGCAAGCTTTGTCCACTAGATGGTGCTCATAGAGAACACAGTTCCTTACCTTGCCAGGAGCACACACTCTACATTTTTTATCTTCCCCAGTATCAGGGCATCTGATGGCTGTTCAAGAAGAGCACAATAATGTAGTTCTACACAACAACATTACAGTGAGGAAGTATTTTACATGCAAATAAGCTCAAGGACAACTTATTCTTTATACTGCTCTGTTTTGACAGTCGATGGAGACTCAACTAACCTTTCCATATGGCGTGTCAACGTAGCGCTCGGTTCTTCCCTCCAAGATATCTGGATCATCAAGACCTGAACCACCAATTATTCCGATCTAGAGGGGGGGAAAAGTTTTGACCTTTTCCTTTTCCGTTTATTTTTTAACTTGGTTTTTTCCGGGTTTCCCCAACTTGGAAGGTTGTTTTTTTTTTTTTTTTTTAAATATAAGATAGTATGTTTAATACTTCCCAACAATCAGTAACAATAATTGCTAAGAATATTCATAACTTAATTCATCATCTGCACATGTTTTTTTTCCCACCTACTTACAGAAAACATCAAGTCTTTTCTGTAGAATGAACATTATTAGGCCAACTCTTATCGTGATGGCCCACTGGCAGGTGTAGACGACACAAAAAATGCTTCCAAAATATAAACATTCATCAACTTCTTCATCTTACACACAAAACAGGACGCATTTATTTTTTGTTTCTAACTTTTTCATGTAATATTTTTTGCTTGTCAATTTTTTCATTTGGGCCGATGGAGATATTTCATTTTAAAACCAGGAGATACTGGTAATGATGTTGATATTGTGCATGCCAACAAAAAAAGATTTAACAGTCTCTTGCTTGCAGGATTTACTGCCTCAGCAATCATTTTTATTTAACAGGTGCAACCATGTCTTCAGACAGCCTACTATTTTATCTTATACTTATTAATATACTTATATATGAAAGCCAGGCTGCAAGGTGGAGCAGTGGTTAGCACTGTTGCCTCGCAGCAAGAAGGTCGCCAGTTCGCGTCCTGGTGAGGACACCCGGGATCTTTCTGCGTGGAGTTTGCATGTTCTCCCCGTGCAGCGTGGGTTCTCTCCGGGTTCTCCGGCTTCCTCCCACACAGTCCAAAAACATGTTGAGGTTAATTGGTGATTCTAAATTGTCCGCAGGTGTGAATGTGAGTGTGCTTGGTTGTCTGTCTCTAAGTGTAGCCCTGTGATAGACTGGCGACCTGTCCAGGGTGTCTCCTGCCTTCGCTCTAAATCAGCTGGGATAGGCTCCAGGCCCCTGTGACCCTAGTGAGGAATAAGCAGTGTATAGATAATGGATGGATGGATAGATGGATGGATGGATGGATATATAAAAGCCTTTAGTAAATTAATTTTAGGACTTTTTTAATATCTCCTAAAGCCTTGTTTTGAAGTAACTCATTTAAAGCATTTTCTAGATCTGTAGAAACCTTTCATCTGTACACCAATTTAAAAACTCTAATAAAATTAAACTCTGCAGATTGTGTGTTGCCTAGAGTTTGGAGAATTATAAGTAGTTCTACAAACTGTATGACATACTGACAAACTTCCAAAATCTGATGACAAGACCTGATGCTACGAGAGATCATTGGGTTTGTTTGTACGTGTTTACTTTGCTATTTACAGCCAGTTAACGGTATTGCTCGAAGGTAAATGTATTTACTCAAGTAGTGTAATTATACATCAGCATCTTAATGTGTTTACAGTCCGTTAAGAGTGATGCTCGAAGGCAAAGCTATTTACTAAACTAATATACTTATGCTGAAGCTTTACTATAGTTAAAAGGCAAATATGCAGAGGGCTTCACCTACAATTATTACCAATTAATCATTATTTTACTCCATTGTCGGAAAATCATTATGTTTTGAAAATGTGAAAAAGAAAGGTGAAACAAAATTAAAAGCTTTGCCAACGTTCTGTAATCAAGTGTTTTTCATTGTTTTTTTCGTTCACGTAAGAAGATGCACACAAAAATGTTTGGCATGACTTGACATGCTTAAAAATGACCTCTACTGCTATTATTGCCTCATCAAAAACAGCTGCAGATTAACTTCCTGTTAAAGGAGGGATCAAATAGTAGAATCACTGCAGCTCTGAAATGCTGGAGAGTAAGATTTGCAGGCGTCTCTGTGGCACAACAATGCTTCAGTTTGCATTTTGTGACACATTTGACCTTTATCAAACATTGTAGCTACAATTTGCATTCTGCACTTTGCCCATCTTGTTAACTGTTCAGCCCTAACTCAAAGTTTAAGATCAAACCACCTCGTGTGTTAAATTGTGAAAACTTGTTCCACGTTCAAGCAGATACAGCGCTGGATGCATCAATAATAAGCAAACTACAGTAATACAACATATAACCAGCGGCGACTTCAAACATGGAAATAGTTTCAGTTGATGTAAATGAAACCAGCATTACGTGACGTCGGTCGGCTGTGTGGTTTGTCCACAAACACTCAAAAGACACTGTTTGTCTTGACAGAGGCCTCTCCAGCAATCATATCACACCTTTCCTGTCTGTTGAGTTTTGTTTCATTCACTGTGTTCTACAATTTCACATCTATTAAGAAATAAAAAGGCCAGTAAACATACAATTTTACTGCGATGAAACGGATTATAATTAATGTAATACGAGTTGTTTTGTTTTTAAATGTTACCAGGAACTTTGTTTGTTACCTGCAGCATCATCAGTTACTGAAGTCAAGATATTTTTCTATCCTATTATGTTCATTATTATTTGGGAGATTTGTCCATTTGACAGCAGGATATTTGCAGCAGTGACATTTGCTGCATATATGTCATAACATTACCTCTCCAACCATTCAACTGACTACCAAAATTTCCATCTAGCCTTTACACGACAACAGCTTGATACAATCCCTGAAATCTGGTCATGGCTTTTGTAGTTACTTTTGCGAATACTTGTAGTTATGGAACATTTTCATTTGCTGCTTTAAAATCTTCCTGAAGCTTCTCTTCTTATATTGGTGGCCTGATTTTGCTTATTTTTTCTCTCTTACCTCTTTGCTTTTATGGTTCAGTCTCCTTCTTGTTTCTAATCTAGTCATGGCTTTGACTTCGCTATTCTGTTCATGGGCTGCGTTTCAAATCCCTGATCCATGCATTTTTGTTCATAATTACTAACTGTGTGTCTTTCCCTCTCATAGTTTGTTCTTTGTCCTGTCTGTCCTCTCTCTGCAGGTATTTCTGGCTCTGGAGCAGCACCAGCGCACAGATTCGTCCAGCGTTTCTGCTGTTTTTTTTTGTTTGTTTGCTGTCTGTTTGTCTTTGGTTCTGCTGGAGGTCTCTTTGTGTTAAAACTGAGTTGTTCCTCTCCACTGTCGCCAATATGAACAAGAAACCATAAAATAAAATACTGTCAAATGAAATAAAAATGAAAAAATAGAGAGAATAGAATAGAAATATTTTGTTAAGGCCCAAGGGGAAAATTGGCTATAACGGCACAAAGAGTAAAATTACCACCACCATAAATACTGAAAAAATAAACAATAAGAAAATATAAAATGTAAAATGTACAAAGTGTAATAAGTAGAAAAGTCCTATTTGAAGTGTAGTGCAAATAATGTGCAACAAAAGTGTGCAGAAGGAAATTTCAGTGAGAAAATATCCATCCATTATCTATACACCGCTTATTCCTCACAAGGGTCACAGGGGGGCTGGAGTCTATTCCAGCTGACTTAGGGTGAAGGCAGGGGACACCCTGGACAGGTCACCAGTCTATCACAGGGCTACACTTAGAGACAGACAACCAAGCACACTGACATTCACATCTACGGACAATTTAGAATCACCAATTAACCTCAACATGTTTTTGGTGTGTGGGAGGAAGCCGGAGAACCTGGAGAGAACCCACGCTGCACGGGGAGAACATGCAAACTCCACGCAGAAAGATCCTGGGTGTCCTCAGCAGCGACTTTCTTGCTGCGAGGCAACAGTGCTCACCACTGATCCACCTTGCAGCCCCAGTGAGAAAATGTGATATATAAAAATAAAACACACAAACACCTGAAAAAAGAAAAAAACAAACAAACACTTGCTCACAGGTGAATCTTTGGATTTGTTGGTTTTCATGCATATTATTGTAGGGTCATAACTTTTATTCAAAATTGGTTAGATTGATCTCTAAAATACCGTGGGGTTTTAACCTGAATAATAATAATAACCATAATCACATTAAGTGGTCTTGGCCGAGCTTTAGTTAATATTACTGTAGGGTCTTAGTCGTTTATTTAGTGACTGTCCATATTTAATATTACTGTTGGGTCTTAGCCTTAATAATAATAATAATAATAATAATCATTGTCACGTTAAGTGCTCTTAGCCTTATATTTATTATTAGTTAGGTCAAACTCTATAATCCTTAATCATCCTGTAGGGTCTTCTCCATATATTTACATGAATTAGGTTACTCTCCATATTTAATCATACTGTAGGGTTCTTTATACATTTTTGCAGGGTTTTAATCCTTCATTTTTGAATTAGTCAGGTAAATTGTACTAAGAGGCACTTTGGCCCATCGTTGTAAATGTACATTAGAAGTAAGTTGACTGGTTGTCTGACAAGCCGCTGTCACGCTGCGGTGTCCGGCCATGTGCCTCGTCAGCTCCACCTGGGATGGAGGGACCCTGGTGGGACCTTTACCCGCTTTACCGGTACCTCGCTCACACACAAACCCCGCAGTTAGCCCGCATACGTTAGCGTCACTTCACACACATGAGCTTCGCTAAGACGATGCTAACACACACACACCGGAGCCTTTTTTTTTCCCCGGCAGTTTGTAACGGCGGCACATCTGGCCGGAAATTATCTTCGCTAACGATTACTCTGCAAATGCACACGTGAAAGTTTAAATGTGACAGTAAATTATAGGTTATTTACCTTGATGGGCAGCGTGGACGCCATGACGACTGTTTTCTCGTCTGTTCAAGCGGAGATTTGAACAAGTTCAGAGGCTTTATAGTCTCTACCGGGTGTTCCGGTTGAACTGGTGATCCACGTTAACTGGTGATGTTTGTTGTGTTTACGCTCCAGATGTTCCGTTTCGCAGATTCGTCACAACCAGACCCGCTTGTTTGTGAATACAAAGACAAATAAGACATTTATTTCTATGTAGACCACGGAGGACTAGGAGCATGCCATTAAATCAAACAATCTCAAACATACAGCCACAGTCTGATCTCCATATGTATAACCTGTGTGCTGATGATATACAGTGTTTCGGCTGAGTGGGAATGAGAAACCAGCCTGTGAATAGTGAAGTTTTATTTATTGTATTTTTGAAGAAGTGAAAGAAAAATGATGATGTTTATCGGCGAATTCTTCTTTATGTAGCATCTTTATCTTGACACACCGGCAGGCAGGTCTGGTTGTGACGAATCTGCGAACGGAACATCTGGAGCGTAAACACAGCGAGCACCGCCACTTGACCTGGATCACCAGTTGAACCGGAACACTGGCCGATAACAACATCCGCGAGCACAACGGACACGTTTCATGAGTGCATTTCAAAATAAAAGTCAGGCGACGGACCGCAAGCTGTTGGTTTCAGGATACAGTTGTCCTCAAATGTATTCATACCCTCCCATTAAAGACGGAAATACATCTGTCACTGAAATAAGTTTAAATTGACAAAAGTAATAATAAATGAAGATTTTATGAATATCATGACATTGCTTTTGAATTGTGGTTCAACTGAAATATAAAAAAAACAAACAAGCATGATGGGACCTGTAAACTAATATTTTGTTAAACAACCCTTTGAGCCAATCACTGCAATCAAGTGTTTTCTGTAACTCTCAGTCAGACTTCTGCACCTGTTGACAGGCATTTTGATTTTAGCCCACTGCTCATCAGCAAAGTGCTCTAATTTGTCCAGGACAACCACAATTCAAAAGCAATGTCTTATTTCATTATATTATAATTTAGCTAATTTTTATTTGTTATTACTCTTTTCAGTTTGTAGTTATTTGAGTGACTATTGTGAATTTTGCCTTTTCTTTAATGGAAGGGTTTGAATACATTTGAGGACGACTGTCCTTGTCTTTTCTGTTTTCCAAAGCAAACAATTATTTAATCTACATCAACTTTGCAGGATGTCGTTGGTATCTATTTACCTCATCAGATTACAAAAGTCCACTTCATGTCTAACCTTGAAATATCACATTTAACTGTAAGAGTAATAATTAACCAATGTTGTGCCAAAAAAAGTGATTATCTGCCAAGCTATCTTTCTGCATTATTTTTTACCTGCTCTGTGCCCGAGATTATAAGCAGATTTAAAACAGATTTAAAGGTTTAAAAGGGGATTGCA